TGGTCAACTAATCTTCGACAAAGGAGGCAAAATATACAATGGGATAAAGACAGTCTCTTCAGCAAATGGTGCTGGGAAAACTGGACAGCAGCATGTAAATCAATGAAGCTAGACTCCTTTACACCATACACAAAAATAAACTCAAAATGGATCAAAGACTTAAACACAAGACAAGATAAAATAAACCTCCAAGAAGAAAACATGGACAAAACATTATCTGACATACATCTTAAAAATGTTCTCCTAGGGCAGTCTACCCAAGCAATAGAAATAAAAGCAAGAATAAACAAATGGGACCTAATGAAACTTACAAGCTTTTGCACAGTAAAGGAAACCATAAGTAAAACAAAACGACAATCTACAGAATGGGAGAAAATTTTTGCAAAAGATTAAACTGACAAAGGCTTGATCTCTAGAATATATAAGCAGCTCATATGACTTAATAAGAAAAAACCGAACAACTCAATCCAAAAATGGGCAGTAGACCTAAACAAGGAATTCTCCAATGAAGACATACGAATGATCAAAAGGCACATGAAAAATGCTCAGTATCACTAATTATCAGAGAAATGCAAATCAAAACTACAATGAGGTATCACCTCACACCAGTCAGAATGGCCATCATTCAAAAATCCACAAATGACAAATGCTCGAGAGGCTGTAGAGAAAAAGGAACCTTCCTACACAGCTGGTGGGGAATGCCAGTTTGGTGCAGCCACTGTGGAAAACAGTATGGAGAGTCCTCAAAAGACTAGGAATAGACTTAGCATATGACCCAGGAATCCTGCTCCTGGGCATATATCCAGAAGAAACCCTACTCAGAAAGACACCTGCACCCCAATGTTCATAGCAGCATTATTTACAATAGCCAAGACATGGAAACAGCCTAAATGTCCATCAACAGATGACTGGATAAAGAAGAGGTGGTATATTTTTACAACGGAATGCTATTCAGCCATAAAAATAACACCATACATAACACCATTTGCAGCAACATGGATGTCCCCGGAGAATGTCATTCTAAGTAAGCCAGAAAGAGAAAGAAAAACACCATATGAGATTGTTCACATGTGGAATCTGGAAAAAAAAAAAGACAAAGACAAAGACAAATGAATATAAATACAGAACAGAAAGAGACTCATACACATAGAATACAAACTTGTGGTTGCCAGGGGGAGGGAGGTGAGAAGGGACAGATTGGGAGTTTGAAATTTGTAGATACTGAAAGGTATATATAGAATAGATAAACAAGATTATACTGTATAGCACAGGGAAATAAATACAAGATCTTGTGGTAGTCACGGTGAAAAAGAATGTGATAATGAATATATGTTCATGTATAAATAAAAAATTGTGCTCTACACTGGAAATTGACACATTGTAAACTGACTATAACTCAATAAAATTGTTTAAAAATGTAATTTGTTATGACAATAATAACAAAGGAAGAAGGGAATGGAGCTATATGGGAACAAAGCTTAATATACTACGGAAATTAAGTTCACATTAATATGAACTAGATTATAAATTAAGATGTTAATTATAATTCTAAAGGCAGCCACTAAGAAAATAGCTCAAAAAATACATAGTAAAGGAACAAAGGAATTAAAATGGTACAAGAGAAAATATTTAACATAAAAGAAAGCAATAATGGAGGAAGAAACATAAAAGTCATAGGACAAATGAAAACAACTCAACAAAATGGCACATGTAAAATCTTAGTAATTACATAAAATGTAAATGGATTAAACACTCCAATTAAAAGGAAAACACAGACAGAATGGACCAAAAAACTACGATCCAACCAAAAGAAACACATTTTACATTTGAAGACAAACAGGTTTTCAGTAAAAGGATGGAAGTCTTCTACATAGTCAAACAGAACTCTGTTTTCCCTGTCCTAGCAATCCTCAGTTCAGTAAAAAGTACCACTATCCATCAGTTGTGAAGTCAGAAAGTTAGACTGGATCCTTGATTTTTACACAGTATGATCCTTGTATCTACTCTCTGAGCAAATTTTGTTGGTTCAATTTTCTATATTTATCAACTGCTACCACCCGAGATGAAACCATCATCTCTTGCCTAGACTACTGTAGCAGCCTCCTAACTGAACTCCCGGCTTTTATTTTTGCCTCATATGGGGCAAAAATTAACTACAGTCCCTTCTCCATAAGGCAATCAGGAGTTCTTTAAAAACATATATAAACATGAAACACTGTTTCTCTATGGCTTAAAAACTTCCAAAGCCACCTCATAGTTTCTCACTGCACTTAGAATCAAGTTCAATTTCCATTCTTTATCTTCAAGGGTTTTCTAATACAGTCTCTGCCCACCTCTTATAGCTGCTACTTCTCAAGGACATTACAGTCATCCCTTGATATCCTCAGGGCATTAGTTCTAGGACCCTGCCATTCCCCTCACTTTCCTATATTGCTACCAACATTAACAGATGCTCCAGTCCCTTATATAAAATGGCATAGTATTTGCATATAACCTACATACATCATTATTATAGGATGCAAAAGTACATCATTACTGCAGTTTAAAAGCTGTACATAAGACATATTTTGTTTTTACTGTTTTTACTAAATGATCTATTCCTTATCCCAAGGTAAGCATGAATACAATTAGGTTAAATGTTTAAAAAAAAATTCAAAACTTTAAATCATCTCTGAATTACTTATAATACCTAATACAATGTAAATGCTGTGTAAATAGTTGCTGGGCTATGGCTAATTCAAGTTTTGCTTTTTGCAACTTTCTAGAATTTTTTTTTCCTGAATAATTTTGCTCAGTGATGGGCTAAATCCATGAATGCAGACACTATGAATGTGGAGGGTCGACTGTATCAGACCCAAGAAGACAATGAAGCAGAACAGTCGAAGTGTTAAGGAAAAAAACTGTAATTTAGAATTAAATATCCAGCCACATTAATACTCCAGGTGACTGCAAAAAAGGTATTTTTCAACACAAAAGGACTCAAAAGTTTATCACCTAAAGAACTTCTCTAAAACACCTACAGAAGACGGCCAGCAAGAAAAAATAAAAAATCCGCACATCCTCAAAAGGAGCCAGAAGGAGTGTGATATAAACAGTAACATGATCATAAACCAATAAAACATACTATTAACTCTAAATACAGTAAAAAATAACATCTCAAATAAATGACAAAATTTCTGATGACAATGGCATAGGGTGGAGGAAGAAATAAAAGCATGCTAAGATTCTGATATCATTTAAGTGCAAGAATAAGACGACTGATTAACTTAAAAGTATGTGTTATTTAAACTTTTAAGAGTAATCAAAAGAACAGGCTTAGAATATACAACTTCAGAAAAAAAATAGAATAAAACTTTGATCAACAGCAACAGAAAATAAAACGGGGAGCAGGAAGAATCAAACAAAAAGCACAGGAAGTAGAAAACAATGGTAAATATAAGCTGGTTAAACTCCTTTACTGTATGAAACAGTGTCTCACACCAAACTGAAAAAAATTAGAAAGCAAAATCTAGTATATGTTATTTATAACAGGTAAAATAAATCAAAACATGAAAGAACAAACAACAAAGCTTTAAAATCTAAAAAGCAAGAACTAATACAATTATAAGGAAAACTAGACAAATCTGCATTCACAGGAGGTACTGATACTTTAAAATGGATAAATCAAGTAGATAAAAAAAAGGAAACAGAATATTTGCATAATATAATTATAGTAAGCCTGAGATACATACATATATATATAAAACCACACCTAAAGACAGAATACACATTTTTTGAATATATGTAGAACATGTATAAAACCACATATAAAAGAGGTTTCAAAAAATTCTAAGTCATTTAGTCCATATTTATTAACCACAAAGCAATATAAGTAGAACTACACATCTTTTAAAAGGCTTAAAAAATTCCATATCCACAGAAATTAAAACAGTAATAACTCCCATATAAATTTAAATGAAAACATTAAAATCAGAATTATAAGATCATAAGCCAAAAAACAATAAAAGCACCTATCAACACATGAGATGTAGTCAAATGATAATGAGGAAAAAATGTATACCCTAAACTGTATTTATTAAAAATTAAAAAAAGTTAGAAATTCAAGAACTTATAACAGTGACAAGCCCTGGCAATTATGATAAGGGGAAAAAAGAGAAAATACAGGTTCTAAGAATACTAAACTACTTACAACATCTTGCATAACAATAAAAAATAGAAAGATGGAACAAAATAAATTCTTAGGCCAATCTCATATGGTGCAAAAAATCCAAAATACAACATTTTCTAGCTGAATCCAGCAATGTACTAAAATACCAAGTGAGATTTATGACATGAATGCAAGGATAATTCACAGTTAGACAACCTATCAACCTGTTTGGGGTTTTAAAGATGAATGTGTCTTTCCTCCTTCTAAACTCTAACTACATAATAGAAACGGAGCATAAAGGGTTCAGTCTCACAAGGACAAAAGGAATAAGGGAGAAGACATCAACAACTAGAGATTTCAATAAATATTCAGAAGAGTAAACAGAGAGACAACTAACTTAGCAGCCTATTATAAGAACCACAGAGCAAAGGGTGAGTGAAAGAGAAAGGAACAAGAAAAGAGCTGCCTCATCTTACAAAAAGAAAAATCCTAGATACTCTTGGAACTAGGGAAATGTCAAACAGAAAGACTTCACATATTAAGGAAGATTTCTGTGGAAATTTTTATTTTATCTTGGGGAAAGTAGAGTGTACTATGGGGAGTTACTTCTGAGTTCTAAGTGATTTAATTCTGTTGAGCCATTATTTCTCCACCAGCTATTTGGATGTAATATGATTGCCCTGTACATACTTTAGAGGAGTTTTGAGAGGGAAGATTTTGCTATGAATACCTTAAAGTAATGTTGAGACTTCTGAGGAATTAAAAAAAAAAAAAAGGTATCACATAGAACAGAATTACCCCTACCTTCCCCACCTCCTATCTCACCACCTCTACATCCCCTCTATACATATACCTTGTGCACTAATACAGGCAAACAAACTTCTGTCAAGAAAATTTGAGGTTTATTCTATGGAGAAATTAAATAAGAGAGAATTGGGACTTGAAGATAAAGGCACAGAAAAAGGGGTAAAAACTGAGAGATTAACGTAATGCTTCAAACACCAGGAAATGCTTCAAGTTACACATTTACCCTTAAGACAGGTAATTCAAACTTCAGTTTCTGAATAGTCCTGGAGAATAGAACCCTAAAGACATCTGGGGATCTCTTAGTTACAAAGCCCACTTTCTTGCCCAATCATCCTAAAATAATTTTGCCATCAAGTCCTACCCATGCACAAAGAATTTATAATCAGCTTTGTAATACCCTACTCTGAATGTAAACAAACAGAATAAATCCCTTATAATCCTGCTATTAACAAAATCACCACACTATTAAAAAACTATTAGCCATCCACCTACAAAGATTATAACACATGTATATGAATAGTTTTGAGCAATTTTTCCCAATTAGCCTCTCTACAATGGCTATACTTCCAAATCTTAGTTCCACTCACTGATTAAGACAAGAAATAGAGAATGAGGAAGATCATTAGACAATTCCCAAAACAAGAAGTTGTCTCATAACCCATACCTGAACACAAGTTAGGGCAAATAAGCATAACAAAAATTTCAACATAAGATTTTACCTGTTTATCTTTTCTTTCTATAATATCTTGCTTTTGCTTGCATTTTTGAGATGTCTCTTTAATATCTATTGCCTATAAGATTGAACCAAAAGAGGGGAAGTTAGTTAAAAACTCAAGCAAGCCAATTATGTTGCCATGTTCATCTAAATACTAAGTTCTTAACGTAAGTTAACCCACAATTCTTTTTCCATGATTGAATTCATAACAACAACCAGAATACCAACACTTATTTGCAAATATATAAAATGTTATTCCTACTGATATGAGAAATAGCTGCAAGCAATATGCATAGGTATGTTTCCTTATCTCTTCACATTTATTTCCTCATGCTGTTTTATCCTAAAAACAATCCTACAGAATAGCAGGGTCTATGATTTAAACCATTCTCACAGTAACATCTAACTCCAAAATCTCCCCTAAAGGTTAAAAGCCATGATCACAAAAGTTTTAAAGTTATATTTTCAAAATACAGGGAATATTCCATATGCCATTATACTACTTATTCCTAAAAAATCAAGTTTTTTATATTACACTCCTTCAAAAGGGTACATAACTACAAACCACATATGATAAATTCACAAAAGGAGTTCATTATGTTTAAGAACACTACCCTGAATCCTCTTCTAACTGAAACAATCACATTTCATTTTTCTTTTTTTATACCTTAGAATTTCTATAAAGTAGTAAGCCTCGAACAATGATGATTAGAATCTTTAAAGCCCTGTGGTAGCAGAGTTCCTAGTAAAAGTTTAAGAACCAAAGCTATAAGTAAATCTACAAAATATTTTTAAAAATCTGTGAAATATTTTTTTGTATTTGCTAAAATAAAATACAGGGAATCCAAAACTGAGCCAGAAGAGTACCTTCTCTTTAATTCGAGCCTCCAAATTGTAACGTTGCCTTTCAATTTCTTCAATTCGATGTGTCATAGGAATCTGACCTTCTTTAAGTTTTCTGACCTCTTCCTTCACTCTGTCACGAGCTAGTTTTACTTCTTCATATTCCTGACGAACATTTTCATATTCCTTGTGATGAGATCAAGAAAGAGAAGTTAATGCACTACTAGCTTAAAGTAACACATATACTAAAGTCAAGGTACAGGCAGAAACTAAATTTATGAAAAGACAGCTTTACATCTCTTTGGCAGATCCATTGATAAAAAAAAATGCCCTCTAAAACAACTTCAGAAATAGTAAATACCAATATTAATGATTGACTCACTGATATTCATTGAGCATTTATCACTAGGCTGGACTCTCTGACTTCCATCTCTTCCTGTTTCTGAAACTTACATCCAAATGGATACTAAAGTGAGGATCTCCTCTAGTCTCTCAATAAGGGATTCAAAAACATAAAAGAAGCAAAAGAAACTCAGTAATGAAAAATAAAAATGAAAAAACAAAAGGAAAATGGCTCAAAAGAAAAATAAAATGAAGCATCCAGGTAAAATGCTGCTTGTCAAGTCACAGGAATTAATATTTGTTTAAAAAAATGGAGTGCTAGGAGAGCATATAGTAAGAATGAATGGTAATAAGAGAAAAGAATATAAACATTAGAGTAAATTTTTAAAAAGGGAAAAAACTGAAAAAAGATTGAAATTAGTCTTAAAAGGAGAAATCAAAAGACTTCAAAAGGCAAAGCAGAGTAACAATGGACATAGGAAAAATGTAATCAAAATGAGATAAAGAAATGAAAAGGTTTAAGAATAATGGAATTATGGGAAAGAGTAAAGTGAAGCAGGGGTGGGGTGGGGTGAGGTGGAGAAGGTCACAGATACAGCCACATACTTTCCCAATCTAATAATTATTCCCATTCTAGCTTTAAAAACATTATTAAACTTTCTTATTTTGTTGCACTCACTGAAAAGTAACGCATTGAGGGAAGTGAATCTTTAGCCCAAACTGTGGTTCTAAGTAATAAAGTATACATAACACAGTGATCAAAAACAGTAGCCTCAGTAAAGTTCTACGCATATGAGTGGAAGATTAGTTAATATCCTTCAGCTTCTTCTGTAGCTGAAGTTGATAACAGAAGCACCCTCCAAGTAAATTCTCAGTGACCCAAGGACGCTCAAAAGATTTAATTTTCCATATGTAAACATTTTTAACTCATCAACATTTTATAAAAAAAAAAACTATCTGTTGAGGACTCAAATCTGGAAGAATTAAGGACACAGACAACTGTTACCTGTTAAACAAGAACAACATAGCACACAGCTATATAATATCACCAAGAAGGAAACAGATAAATTTTATTACGTGTGATATGTGAAGCAAAAATGAACAAAAGCACCTAATTTGAATACACACTAATTAATGCCTTCTTTATAACTTTTGTTACTTAAAGAAACATTATTTTGCCTTTAATAACTAGACTTACCACCCATGGCCTTTTTGCTTCAAGCATCTCAATCAAATCTAAATGTCGCTTACGTTCATAGAACCTTTCCACATCTTGTTTATATCTTTCATTCCTCTGAATCATTTTCTCCAGATATTCAGTTTTCTCTTTGCATGAGGTCTAAAACATATTTATTTAACAATTAGTTTAACCAAAAAAAGACAAGTCAAATCTTTTAATAATGAAAAATGTACAGTCCTAGCAAAATTTCACAATAAAGGACTCAGGCATTTTTAAGAACTGTGTAAAACTAATGTGCACACCTGAGTTCCTGTCTAAGCTGTACAATTTATTAGTCATGGGACTGTGAGGAAGCCCTGCCACATCTCTAAGCCTGGATTCTTCTTGCCTAAAAAGAGAAAGATCTGCCCAAGTGACCACAAGGGTAGAAGCAACCTGACCTCCTACAGGTGAAAGCTGAACAAAAGCTGTAATGTGACATACAAATGAAAAGTGGTATTATTATGATTAGCATGTCATGAATACCCATGACTTAAGGACTTAGAAACGAGATAAAGGAAAGCTAAAATTCAATCTTTATACTGCGAATTAAAAAATGCAAAGATGGACTGAGAACCTAGAATACATGCCTGTTTTCTTTCAGAGGATGGTAGTTTCAGTGGGGAGTATTATATTGTTTGATGTGAAAGAGAATAAAAGGACTGGAAATATCTGAAGTAGGACGACAGAAGTACAATTCCTTTGTCCACTTACTCTGAATAAGTATAATATTGAAACAGCATTAAATTATAACAAAACATTGTCATGTACACAGACAGTTACAGTTTAAGAGAAAGTATCTATTTATGAGAAGTCTTATCACAAAATTTACTGAATTTATTTTAGTTGTTGAGATATGGAAAATGATTCACTAAATAATACATCTTTTCAAATGATATGCTATAGAAGGACATTTAATTTTATGTTTATTAAAGGTGAAAATAAAAATTGAACACTGCAACCAAATATTTTTTTTTTTTACAAAGTCTACCTTATACAGCTGAAAAAATATGAGAAATGGCTCAACAGAGATGCTGTATTAAAATCTAAATGATGCCTGCTGTATTAACCAAAGCCTTACATTGCTTGACATATGGTAGGTGTTCAATATATATTGAACGAATAAAAGAATACTGAAACTTCCTGAGAGAAAAAAATTCTTTATAATACTATTATTAGTTATTTAGAAATTCAATTAGTAACATGTATTTGATGAAATGATTGTTAATTTTTCAAACTTTATATCAAATCCATTCTCACTTTTTGTCACCTAATTTAATTAATGTTAGCAATAAAATCCTGGATGGAAAAAACCACAAATACATGAATTCACTCAACGAATCAGAGCTACTATTCACTCTCCCACATTCTGAGACATGGACATCAATGAGACAATAAAAGTAAGTTGTCTATTTATAAATACCTCTAGTTGTTTTTCTTTCTCCCTGAAGTTTTTGAGATCACAGTGGTATCTGTGCATTTCTGGAGGACCAACTGACTTCTCAGTAGCTTCAAGGAGTTCAATTTTACTGAGTTTAGCAAATTCTCCAACTTTATCCTACAGCACAAAACTTTAACATCAGCTACCATCATTTATAAATATGTTCAAAACATATTTCACTCAATGATGCCTGTCAAGATGAAACTCATTTAAAAGAAAAAAACCTTTAGAGATGGGAATCTTAATATAAACCCTGTTCTTTCATGTATTATTCTTTAAAATAATAAAAATAAACTTAGGGTATAAACTATCATCTCTTTGAAAACCTTAAAAAATTTCACTGTCAATATTTCTAGGTTAAAATGTTTATATATAATAAATAGTTTGAAAATAAAAGAAAAAATACTCCCCTGGATTGAAATGATCATTATCTACCACACATCAATTGGATTGGAATATTAGAAGTTTTTTTTTTAAAGGGCAATTTTAAACATCTACTTCTGGAGACAGTCTCTTATCAGCTGATAAATGCTTCCAAATTTTAACTTTTAGCTAATTTGGACATAATAATCAAATCATCATTGCTTCTGAAGAAACAAATGAACTATAATTCAGTCATTAGACAGCATTCAAAGACATTATCAGGATGCTTTATTTTTACTAAACAAAATATTAAAAGTTTTTAGAACGTACACCTATAGATTTAATAGTCTTAGTGTATAAAATATTTTACACAAATACACTAAGTTGTTTAACAAAATTTTAAGAGCCTACAAATGGAAGCACACAGCTATTCAGGCTACTCTCTGTACTTAAAAATAATACCTTTATTTCCTTTATAGTACTTTCACAGACTTACTAATTGAAAATTTCCAAATTACTACAAGTTAGTAAGATTATACTATAAGAGATGAGATGCTACCATTGACAGAGAACTGTTGTAAGTATTAAGACTGCTATGCTCATTTTGAATAGTAACCATTACAATAACCCTTAAAAATATTTACATTTTCACGACAAAGAAGAAACATTATACATAAAATTTTCTTATCTTTACATTTAAGTCTCTCATACCTGAGGTAGAAATTGGCAAAGATTGCCCACTTGAATATTTAAGGCTGCAACTTGCTCTTCTACTACTTTCTGGGTTGTAGATTTTTTGTTGATGAACCAAAAGGACTGATTTTTTGCCACATCAATCTCACGAGTGATTATAAGATTGCCAGAAGTCCTGAACCTAGTTTAAAAAAATTTTTTTAAATCTTTATATTCAAAATACATACATTATTTTAGAAATGAAATTTCTAAAATTCTCCTGCACCAAAGGTTGCCAGATAGGATTTTAACTATAATTTTTGTTCCTTTTGATATTTTGGACCCTCGAAATAAGGAAAGCCTGACATTTTATTAGTGATAATACATAATTGATCATATGTAAGTTATTACTCTTTCAACATTTAAAATTAAACTGTTAATAATAAAATTAAAACAAATGCCAGTACAAATTGCCAAACACTGCCAGAGGATTCATATATCTGGAGTTATTTATCCTCTAATCATTATGCTACTCTCCAATCACATGCGTTGACTGCAATTCAAAATGGGCCAGTACATAACTGTTAAACCTTGAAACCCTCTCAACTTGAAAAACACAGGAATGTAAACCAACTCTTGCATATGCATTTCCAGAACATCAAAACTGCCCATACAGGTGGCCCATGGCTCCTGTACTCCACTGCTCTAAATTCAGAGGGGCCTATATTGCATGACTATAAAGCAACATTAAACAAAAGAAAATCTGAAAGAAGAGTATTTACTTATTTCTTGCTTTTAGGAGTACTACTGCTCCACACCTCCCATTTATTCATCCATCTTCTTCATTGGCAATCAGCAGCATGTGGCAGAAAGATAAATTATTGGTATCCAATGGCTAAATGAAAATGTAAATGTTGTGTGCATGTGTGTGTGTGTATGTTATACTATAATTAGAATTTTTCAAACACTAAGATTTTAGGACTTAAAAAAAGTAGCTTTAAACTTTCATTTCTAGCAGAATATCTAATGAAGTATCCTTCTTGATTCTCTTGTTGTAAACAATTAAAAATAAGATATAAAATACTAAAATATATTTGTAAATGTATTTATAAGTTAGCATCAAAGTAAGGTATTCTGGCCAAAATTCCAGTGCAGGCAGGAACCCGGAAGTGGAAAAATGAAACTGCCTTTTACCCTGACGGTATGTGGCCAACCAGGTGGTAACCTTGCACATTCATTTTTATGATCTCCTGAGAGAGGGGTGTTGCAGACAAAGCCCAGAGCTCTCCAAGGTGGAGAGTTTAACAGAAACCATCCCCCAAAGGCTATACTCTCAGTGTGAGGATAAACTAGAAATTACTCCATCACCACCACCATTAGCAATAGCAAGGTAAACTCTGTCTCAAACTATGCCTTGAACTGTGAAACAAACAAACAAATTCACCCTAAGAGTTACTAACCCAAATCAGTCTTAAACAGATTTGTATCTTGAAGTTACATGACATACCTAAGGAAGTTCAAAACCCCTGAAACTGAGAATTCTGTAAACTGTGACCCTGGTTTAAAAATATCCAATGGTTTATAACAAAAATTCACTCTGCAGGAAATCTACCTTTATCATCAAAGAATTTAATGCAGATGAAGTTCCAAGAGAAAGGAACAGCTTTCTGGAAAAACACACAAGAAAATAAAGCATCAAGAGTAAGTTAGAAATAGAAAGTAGAATCATACTGGAATAGACTCAAGTATAAAATAAGTACGTTTACTATATTTTAAGAAATAAAAGATTGAAAATCTAAGTAAAGAACAAATAGATCTGAAAAAGAACCAAAGAGATGTGGATCTAGAATGCAGTACAGAGACAAAAAATGAAAAAAAAAAGAAAAATTTGAGATTTCCAGTCAAGATGGTGGAGTAGTAGGACCATGAGCTTGTCTCTCCTCGTGACTATAATGAAACCACAAATGACTGCTAAACAACCGTCGAAAAAAAGACTGGAATCTAACAAAAAAGATCTTCTTCAACTGGAAACATAAAGACGGAACTACAGCAGGACGGTAGGAGGGGCTGGAGATATAATCAGGCCCCATACTCCCCACTTCCCGGGGTGGGCAACCCATAAGCTGAAGAATAATTAAGTCACAGAGGCCCTCCCACAGGAGTGAGAGTTGTAACTCCACATCAGGCTCCCCAGCCCAGGGTTCCGGCACTGGGAGGAGGAGGAGACCCCAGGACATCTGGTTTTGAAGGCCAGTGGGGCTTAACTCCAGGAGTCCCATAGGACTGGGGGAAACAGAGACTTCATTCTCTTGGGACATGTACACTGAATCTCACATGAGCCAGGTAGGTCCAAAGGCAGAGGCAGTTATTTCATAGGAACCTGGGCCAGACCTCCCTGCTGGTTTTAGAAGGTCTCCTGGGGACATAAGGGATGGCTGCAGCTCACCCAGGGGATACAACAGCTGGTGGTAGACATTCCAGCAGTGTTCATCTACATGGGCTTTCCTGGAGGCTGACAGCACCAAGACCCAGCCCCACCCAACAGCCTGTAGTGAAGCCTCAGGCCAAACAACATACTGGGTGGGAACACAGCCCCACCCATCAGCAGACCTCTTACCCACCAGACATCCAGGACCAAGCTTCACCCAGCAGTGGGCAGGCACCAACTCCTTCTGCCAGAAAACCTACGTAAGCTTCTAGTCCAGCCTCATCCACCAGGGGGCAGATAGCAGAAATAAGAAAACAATCCTAAAGCCTGTGGAAGGAATCCACAAACACAGGCCAGACTCTACACTGGGATCAGCTGGACCCTGGCTCTTGGGTGACAAAACAGGAGTGTACTGCTGGGACGCACAGGACGTCTCCCACAAAGGGCCACCTCTCCAAGGTTGAGAAACTAACTAACCTACCTAAAAACACAAACAGAAAAATAGACAGTATGAGGCAGCAGAGGAGTATCTCCCAGGCCAAGGCACAAGATAAAATCCCCAAAGAAGTAAGTGATAAGGAGATAGGCAATTTATCTGAGAAAGAGTTTAAAGTAATGATGGCAAAGATGTTCAGAGAACTCAAGAGTATAGATGCAAGAGCATAGTTTTTAGCAAAAAGTTGGAAAATATAAAGAATACCCAGAATTGAATAAAATCACTGAAATGAATAATACACTAGAAGGAATCAAGAATAGACTAAATGAGGCAGAAAAATGGATCAATGAGCTAAAAGACAGATTAGTGGAAATCACTACTGCAGAACAGAAAAAAAGAAAAGAATGAAAAAAATGAGGATAGTTTAAGAGAACTCTGGGACAACATGAAACATATCAATATTCACATTATAGAAGTCCCAGAAAGAGAAGAGAGAGAGAAGGGACCTGAGAAAATTTTTGGAGAGGTAATAACCAGAAACTTTCCCAACTTGGGAAAGGAAACAGTCACCAAGTCCAGGAAGCACAGAGTGTTCCCACACAGGATCAACCCAAAGAGGAACACACCAAGGCACATAGTAATCAAATTGACAAAAATTAAGGATAAGGAGAAAATATTAAAATTAGCGAGAAAAACAACAAATAACATGCAAGGGAACTCCCATAAGGTTATCAGCTGATTTTTCAGCAGAAACTCTACAGGCCAGAAGGGAGTGGCACAATATATTTAAAGTGATGAAAGGAAAAAACTGACAACCAAGAACATTCTATCCAGCAAGGCTCTCATTCAGATTTGATGGAGAAATCAAAAGCCTCACAGATAAACAAAAGCTAAAAGATTTCAGCACCACCAAACCAGCTTTACAGCAAATGTTAAAGGAACTTCTTTAGTCATCAAGCCATAAGAAAAGAGAACAAAAAGCAGACAGACCAAAAAAAAACAAAAACCAAAAAACAAAACCCTACAAAAGATTGCTTTGGCAGTTTGGGACCTTTTATGATCCCACATAAATTTTCAAATTCTTTGTTCTAGTTCTGTGAAAAATTCATTGAGTATTTTGACAAGGGTTGCACTGGATCTATAGACTGCTTTGGGTAGTACAGCCATTTTGATAATGTTGATTCTTCTAATCCAAGAGTACAACATATC